TAACTTGTTTAAGGAGGTGTTAATTTCTTTGATTCAAGGGTTCTTGCTCAACAAAAGCTTGGATCATTGGGCTGAGAATTAGGATTGCCTTATCACTATATCTCCAAGTGACTTGCATTTTAGCAACAATAATAATAAAATTTGAATACTATTTTTATAAAATTTTAAAAGAAAAACATATTTCATTTATATGATTAAAAAGTTATGTACCATTTTATCATTATGGTATAACCTATAGAAATAATCACCATTAAACAAACTTTAGTTTCAAAATTTTTATTAATTTGAAAAGACAATAGAGAAGGAAAATACAAACATAAAATTGTAGACCATAAGGAAATATATATAAATTACAAAAAAGAAAAAGCTAACAAGAGACGCTAAAACTTATACTTCAAAGTGAACAATAATAGTATTAGTATTGTCCTACACGTGATTGATAGGTTATAATATATTTATTTTGAATATGATAGGGTTACAGAAGTTGAAAAAAAAAACGATTATTATTATTATTATTATTATTTTTAAAAAAGAGGAAAGACGATATGGATAAGTAGAGGAGAGATATTGAATAAAGGAAAAGCAATAAATTGAAAGAGCTTTTTGTTTAACTTTAGGGGTAGAGTATGAATTGAAGTTTTCAAGTGGGTATCAAGGAAATTGAAAGTGCATCGTTTCGGATAAGAAGAGAAAAGAGATGATACGTCAGACTTACCTAGTCTCGCCATCTTTATGAAAACTATTTTTGGGCCAGTAAGATGGAGGCACATGCAGGAGAGTAGGGGACCTCAAGCCCAGTCCACATCCAACCCAACCATATGTCTTGCTTGGTGCACCTAGCCATCATGTCTAAAAGGGACAACTATTTCTTTTTTTGTTCGATCGAAAGATAGTGAATTCGAATCACTCACTCCCACATATTGTACTAAAAAGAATTCTAACTTTTTAATCCATGGCAAACCAAGAATCTCCTTAAACCGCTCTCTCTTTAGTCCTTGGTCCTTAGTATTGTTTTTTGCTTTCGCACCTGCTAAAATATCAACGTTGGTTAATAAATGTTAGTAATTGATTGATTGAGACATTAATTGCCCGTATCCAATCACATCAGTACACGTGTTATAAGCTAACGGTGGTCCAAGTCCAAGCAATTGGGAGGCAGGCTCTTTCCATGTCGAAAAAAGAAAAAATGAAAAAAGAAAAAGGAAAAAGGAAAGGCCAATACGCGAATAGGACCCGTCATGGGACCACTCAAAACCGTTGGTGACGGGGGAAATCTTCGTTGAGGATATCCGGTCCCCTCCCCTCCCCTCCCCTCCCTGTTGTGTTTATTTAAAAATAGTTATAATAACAGAAAATCTTCTCCCATTTATCGTTTATGTAATTATTGGTTTCGGTTAAATTATGTATCGTATCTTATCCAAATGAAACCTGGATCACAATTCACACACATCATTCCCATCCTCCACCGTGTCTTGACTCTTCAGTCCTGCTGACCATCCTAATGTGAGAATTTTTAATTAAAGGCCGATAATTTCAATCAAGAAATGGGATGTAATTTGGTTTAAAATTTAATTGAGGTTGGGTTGAGTTGGAGGCGAAGGAGAGAGAGTCTATAAATAAGGCGGAGAAGGATGGATATTCCCTGGATTGGGTAACCCAAAGCAAATTAAGGGGATCTCGCCCTCTCCATATCTAATTGTCATTTGGTAATCCAATATCCAATATCCAATTCCAATAGCTGATACATGGGCAGACCTCCCCTCCACCGCAACGCTCTCACCCTCAAGTTCCTCTGCAGCTACGGCGGCAAGATCCTCCCTCGCTATCCCGACGGCAAACTCCGCTACCACGGTGGCGAAACCCGCCTTCTTGCCGTTAGCCGCTCCATTTCCTTTACTGGTAACCGCTTCATTTCTCTGTATTCGTGTTCTGTGTTCTGTACTCTGTATTCTGTATTCTAATTGCAATAACTGTGATACATGGTACGGTACAGAGCTGTTGTTCAAGTTCGGGCAGCTGTGCGGAACATCCGTTTGTGTGAGCTTCCGTTGCCAATTGCCAAGAGAA